ACACACACACACACACAGTTAAAAACACACATAAATATATCTGACTTAGGAGAAATTGTGGTTTAAATACCTTTTTAGCTTTTAATCTGCAGGAAATATTGGTTGTGTTTATCACATCGCATTAACTAAAATTAAACTTGTCAGCTACACAGAGGGAAGAGCAAGATATTGTGTTACTAAAATATAATTGTATTCATTCCAGTAGCAAGGGTTTGAGAGAGGTTTTGAGGCATCCATGGAAATTAAATCATTTTCTCCTACTAACTTTAGTTCAGCTGTTTGTGAATAAACTAAAATCTTTCATTATCACAGTCTGACCTCCAATCTGTCCAACATTCTTATCTGTGTTCCTAATATTTGCTTGAATGCAGTGGTAGTATCTCTTCATCCTCAGATTCAGTCTTTATTCGCCCCACAGTAGGTGAGCGGAGTGATAAGAGTCGGCACAGACGGGTGTGACAGTTGGTCTGATGATTTGAAAAGCCCTGGGGTAACAGGTAGCGGACCAATCAGTGCACAGAGAAGTGCGACCATGTGCTGAACTGTCAATGTTACATCCTCATAAGATCGCTGTTGGCTAATGATTTTGTGGCTGTAGAATCGATCCAAATCCTTGTTGTTGAGACTACTGTGGGTATATCATAAACAAATACTGTACAATATATGATGAAACATAAGATGAAACACAATTTCTCAAGCTTCACAGAGGTTGCCCTCGGATTTGGGTATAACTACCTGGCTCTGTGGATAGTGAGTTAAGACTTTGCCTATTTTCTCTACATCTGGGTGGGTTTCCACAGGGATGATTGACTCACATCCTGGGCGCCTCGTTTCCTTGCACGCCATTGATCCCAGTTCGACCCGCCGATCATCCTTTCACGCATGACCCATTTCATCACACCCCTTGACCTTCATTCATCCCCCTTCCCACCTGATAATGTACTAATTTGCCTTAAATAGCGTGTTCAGTGTTAATGAAAGACAATGCATGTTCAACCAAAGAACTGGTGTTGGTCTTCCAGATGTTGTGCTGCCTACTCCTCCTAAATGGAAAAAAATGGTATTTCAAATTGTTGAAATGGGTCAAATGCAGAGAAAAAATTCAGCCAGGGGATCAATAAAGTCATCATAAATGCTACATAATAATCAATATTTATCGTTAAAGGAATCTAACACAACATGCACAGTACAACTGTCAACACAACCTGTAGGGGATGTCTTTCTTTTGATCCACATATCTTTTTAGTGGTGTTCAGGTTATATCTGCTTCTATTTCCCTAAAGTGATATTTAATACAGCCTCAAATATATCTGCTACCATTAAATGCCAGATTCATGACATCTTTACCCTGGGGAAACCATGTGACATAACAAAACTCATTTATTTTATTTTACTATTTGGCCTTCCTCTCTTTGCGCGTCCTTTGTGTGCTCTCACCCATCCTAAATGAATGGAAATGAACTGCTTCTCCAAAATCTACTTCCATGATCACCTGATTAATTTTGAATATGTCTGTCTTGGATAATCATATCAACCTGAGGCTCAACTCACCTCATCCACCATAAATAAAATTCTTCTTCTTGTCCTCTTGTCATTCTACTCTTCCGTGCAATGATTGCTTTGTCCTTTTGTGGTAATATATTCAAAGCAAAGAGGACCAAAATAAATTATAAAAACAAGCTTCTGCAACAGGTTTGGTTGCATGCACAGAAACACAAACACTTTCAGACAGTATCTCATGCCTGAATGCCACGGCACACAGCCACTCTGCTGGGCCACTTGCCCGTGCATTGGAGATGTGCGCAGGTTTGACTTTTAGCAGCAAATGCAGGGCAAACTGTCCTGACCTTTTGAGGTATCTCCTCCCTCTGAGGATGTATTGCGTGTGTGTACACATGTTTTAGTATGAGATCAACACTGAACACTGGACAACTGAGACACCTTAGAGGCTTAGTTGGCTCAGGTGCATGTCATGTAGCTGGGATGGGTGAATGGCCTTGGATCATTGTTGCATGTCATCTTCTCATCTCTCTCTCTCTCTCTCTCTCTCTCTCTCCAGAGAATACATGTAAATATCAGCATTTTCAATGTTTTTAAAAAAGCTCTCTCCATGGTGTGCTATATCTCCATAGAAGCAACTTGCTAAACTAAACTGTCCATACCACCCTTTGTGCCATTGTACATCAGTATGTGATTTCTTTAACTGTAGTGGACATAGTGATTGAAAAATACAAAGGAAAATACTCTAGCCTGCTGGTAAATGAATCTGTTTAACTTCTCAGGTCAAACTGACATACATTTCTGGGTGTGTATTGCATCTGAATCTGTTTCTGTTAGTAATTGATCGAGATGTTTAGATCGAACCACCACTTGCAGCCAAGGTATAAAAATGTTTTCTAATCTGTGGGATTGTTTCAGAACATACAGTGTTGTGTTGCTGCCTGAGTCCAAGCGGACCCTCCTGCTCAAAATATATAAACTGACTGACAAGTAGCAGCTCCTCCTGTTGCCAGTGTATTATACTGATTTTACACTCTGCTGAGTTTGTTGTCGTGTGTCTTTTATGTGTTTGTTTGCCGTCATTCCTAACAACATGGTTATAGGCTTCCCTTGTGACCTATATTATAGATGCTCTCACAACACACTGAGGTCAAAGGTCGTACGGAACCAGGAATTGCATTCAAGGACAATGGGTGATTCATCTCTCTTATTAAATCTGCGACAGTAAATGTTCTACTGTTTTTTGATTAGAAGTCCATTTTGGTATCAATTTCTTTTATTACTCTGTGCAGTGGCGAATAAACCCGACGCAACCTGCTCAAGGTCGTTTTTATAAGAGCCAGGTTTTATTTAGAAGCTGCAGATCAATGCCAAAAG